CTCTCTCTCTCTCTCTCTCTCTCTCTCTCTCTCTCTCTATCTATCTATCTATCTATCTATCTATCTATCTATCTATCTATCTATCTCTCTCTCTCTCTCTCTCTCTCTCTCTCTCTCTCTTTTTGTAACCATTTTTCCATCTTTGCTTTGCCTCGCGCGCCTTTTCTCTTTCTTGATCATCTGAATCTTGGTTCCATTTTACGCTATCCTTCACGCCCTTTTTCGTCCCGCTCTAATCCTTGCATCGGAATACCCTATCGATCTCCTCCTCCTCCCTTATAGCCAAGGAAACACGCCGTGTAAGAGAAAATTCCCGCTACACGACAATTTTGATTGGTTGCGATCGGACTTCGAAGGATTAATATGACTTTCGATGGGCAATTATCCCCGAACCTCCCCTTACCGCTCCCCACCTCGGTCTTAATCCTTCCTAGCATCTACCTCCTTTTCCACAACTATAAATTCCGCAAGCGCTCTTGAAAATTTTCTCTCAACTCATCTGCCAGCTTCCGGGAAGCAGTGGCTAGAGGGTGTGTGTAAAGGGCGAGTCGAAGAATCCATATGGGTTGACTTTAGTCTTGTCAATTGTGCGTTGGATCGCCCGTCGGATTGTGGGATCCGGGCAAGACTGTGCAAATACTAAGTTGGCGGGGGGACAATCGCTATGGTGGATTAGCACGTGACGACCGGGATCGTCAGTGCTTATGAGAGGCTCGAATCGGAAGTTGAGTGTATGCATGGCCTGGGCCATGGTGGAATCTTATGACGAAAGCACCTTTTTTGTCTCAAAATTTGTATCTTCAAGCGTGAGTTCTGATCACTCGGCTTTTAAGCCGGAATTTTCCTTGACAAGATTGTCGGACATTCTGTGATTATTTTCTGCTCTTTCCTCCCCTCTTATCTGCATTTATTCTCTCTCACTCTCTCCTTCTGTTATGTTTTCTTATAATGGATGAATTATGGTAACTTTGTTTCTCTCACTTTGATATGTGCATGCAGTAGGGCGTATTAGAGAGCTTGTTATAGCATTACTGGGATGATGATTGGCTAATCGACTGGATGATCTGGCTGCTTAGAGTGTTGAACGAATGATGTATGATTACGAAGAATCTTTGTACTTGCTTTTGTTGCCATGTGGACTGACGGCCCCAACCCGACCGGGCGTCAACTTCCCGTACCCTCGTTGCACCCCTTCCCGTACAACGAGGAAAGGACACGTGTATGCGAGTGGGACGTACGAGAAATCGTCGCCAAGACCAACGGGCGCTACTACTTTCCTTCCGAAACTCGGTGTTCTGGATTCGTCGATGAGGGTTTTGTTATTGTTGATACACACTTTTCGCCCTATTCGTTGTTGTTGCCATTTAACGAGTTTATCATCATCCCGTGGACGACAGTAGAGCCTCATTGGCCTAACACTGTGCAGCGATTGTTGCCGCTTCGAGCGTTACCGAGCCAAGGGTTTCCACTACAGCACACGTGACAAGGACGAGCATAAGGAGATGACTACTCGATTGAAGCCCTCCACATCGGACTCGGAGTTATGTAACGAGCGCCGACGAGACCTCATCCGTAAAGGGGATACCACGTGTGTACCCGCCCCTTTTTACGTAAAACGAAAAGCAACGGCTCGCTGGGAAGTTCAACGATACTTTTTAGAGTGAATTTCCTATAGCCGCGAGTCCCGCCCGTGCCTTTCTCTCCCTTAAACCCGCACGACGATAGACCTCCTTCTTACTAGAATCGGACCAACACGGGGGATTTCAGTTTTGCCTGTGTCCGCACACGTAACTTTCTAAAAAATCCTTGGCACACCCCATCTTCGCTGTCCTCCCGGGGCCCTTCTACAAACCAAAACGCTCCGACCGGGAAGCAGCGCAGGGCGTGAGGTTGAGCATCACATGGCGCACGAAATCTCGTGGGCACACCCTTTTTCACACGGGCCTTGCGGTGTTTCACCTTGCCGCGAGCAACGCCCTCCTCTGGTTCCGCCTGCCCTCACGTGACGACTTGCTCCGGTTCCGCCCATCCCGCGATTTTCCGTGGTCCCACAACTTCGTGTGACGACGGGACCGCTGTAACTTTCAAGGGTATAGAGATGGGGGGGGGAAAAAAACTTACAACAACAAACGCTCAAGCACACACATATACGACATATGGACCAAGATTCAAGGACCACTAGCCTCAACACCAACTATGAATCAAGGTATGTCAAATATCTAATACATTAATACCATACAAATTACCTAAATCCCACACATTCCGACACTAACAGATGTGATAAACACAAACACCCTAAGTATCATACAAACACACACACTAATCTTGACACATACACACAAATACTCCTTTTTTTTGATGCAACAATCACCCTACTTCTAATCCTCACCAATAACGCCTCCTTTATCAATCAAGCATATACAAAACTACGGGCTGCGCACCCGTGCCCTCATGGTAAGTCAATCCCGCCCGCCCTGAGTTCCAGGCAACGAAACTATGCCCATGCTTTGAAACGGGGTGGCAAACTTGCGGGTGTACCAACAGCCAAAGGTGGGCCTTGGATGGCAACCACAAAATTATGCTAATGCCCACTTCGTGTACCCTTGTGGCCCAGCGCCTGCCAGCGGCTGCTGGGGATAAGCATAATTTCAGGTATCCGGTAGTAGGGTATATGAAGAATTTGGCCGGCCCACGTAAGGGTATGCCCATAATTTTGCCTGGGAATGTCCATAATTTGTGCATTCGGGTAGTTGGTTATAACTTATAACTGCAATTTTGCGGTACCAACCTGGGTCCACCTCAGTCGTGGGCATGCAAGTAATTTCCACTGGCAGTTTTCCAGGTATAGGTGCAAGTTGGCACTGGGACTGGGTATAGCGGGTATTCCCATCTCTACCACCCGGCTAGGGGAACCACCCCACAACTCTGCCCTGCCACTGTGACTCAATACCCCTACTCCGCACTCACTCCCTATCAAGGCACCCACGGTCCTCCAACCCGCAACGTCTCCTTTACGCTGAGAAGGTTGCCAAAAAAGCAAAGCTTGTGGAGGCCTTTCGGCTAAGATCAAGTGTAGATCAGTTTACTATCTGATCCAAAAAAAAAAAAAAAAAAAAAAAGGAAGGATAACATTAGCCCAGGCAGAATGGACTGCCAGGTTCAGTTGCCAAGGGCGTGATCTGCACCTAGATGTCGTAAAGGGCCATTAGTAATTGTCGGCCGTCAAATGGTGCATCTTGACGGCTAATAATCAATTGGACTAGACGCTAACCGGTAGCGGTTCAATATCTCTGTCCCCGGTTGTTTAGGACAGGTCCTACCAGTTTTGGCCTGTTGGTCCATAAATGGCTGTTGCTGTCCAGCTTTTCGATTTTGCCGCGCGGCGCAATAGCCGACGGATTGGCCTGGACGAAAACTTTTGTCAA